CTTCAAGATATGTATACATTCGATCACCATCGTGGCGACAAGCATCATCTAATAAAATCAGTCGTTTTGATATTGATCAAGAAAAAATTGGCCATGTTCACGTGGAAAAGGATAGCTTATTTTATATTTATACTCTTGCTCCAACTTTAAATAACCCGTTCCGGGAAGGTATTTGACAATTTCGCTCAGTCTAAGTTTTTTGCATAATCTTGATTTCCGTTATTAATTGAGCAATATACCAACTAATTTCCTTTCTTATTATTGCATAATTTTTTAAGTGAGATTTACATTATTTTATATAAAATTTACTTTCAAGAGAGTTGATTGCATTAGCATTGTTTCAATTCGTTGCCCTTTTGGGGAAAAATATTTGAGATTTCACTAAGTCGTGTGATCTTCAAAGTCAAACACGCTTTAAATATTTCACATAGTAGAATTTTATTTATTTGATTTATACTTATCATTTGTTGTCCTCCATATTCATTTAACTAGAATTCGAAACTAAATGAAATTAATGTATAAATCATTGTGTCCTAGTAACAACCAAGGTTTTTAATTTAATCATGTAAATATCACGTTAACGTTAACATTTATAAACGATTTTGATAAATATAGAAATCATGCTTCTAAAATGCATTTTAAGATTTACTCATAATAAAATGAAGAAATAGAAGTGAGTGATTAACGACAGTGAAATTTAACGAAAAGTTAAAGTTATTTGAACCATAACTGCATTTTTACAGACTCTTCGGCTTTACAATTTATTTGAAATTATTTTGCAATGTCTGAAAACTTGAGAAAATAAAATTGTTAATACACATTGCCTGCCACTCAAGCTATAAACTGAAAAGTAAATAAAAAATGTGATTATAGTCTTTTGCGCATAAACTAAGTTTCATTAATTTTTTTTTTTTTCTGCTTAGGCAGAATCGTTGCAAATGAGACTAAGCATTTATGGTAAATATAAATTTTAAAATTTTAAAGAAATTACGTAAATGAATGACGGCACGCAATTTAATAGTTGGAAAAATATCTGATATTCATAACTTTAAAATATGTTTGCTTTTCCGTAAGCATACAAAATTTTTTTTCAAATCTCAAAGAAAGCTAAGAAACTAGGCCAGTTTGTTGATATTTTATTGAGTGGTATTTAAGCACCCATTAGTGAAAAGGGACTATTCAATCGTTTGATGGATCAGTAGTTATTTTCTTATTTAAAAATAAAATTCCTCGAATTTTCAGAATATCGACTGGCCTTTGCTATGATTTTGTCTACTTTGCCCATCTTCAATGTATTCATTTATGTATATAGCTTAATGCCATTTTACAATCAATTCCATTTGGCCAGCCGACTTTTTTATATAAATATCTGAAAATCGCTTGATGTCAATCGTATTGAATCCTCCAGGGCAAATTACTTAAAGAAATTTAGTGATTATGTCTTAAAAGATGATATTATTACCATCATCAGTTGTTAATTTAGTTTTAAAAGCTAAGCCTCCATATCATTTTAATGGAAATATCCGATCTATTATCAACGTTGTGCAATAATTGATGTTAGAAAGATTACTTTATTATGAAAAATGAATAAAAATTTTAAATTGACATAATTCATTTTGCTCTTTTTTTTCATTTAACCTCTAGCTAAATCCGGGTAAAATGAGGTTGCACACCATACTTGCCTCAGAACATTAGATTTATTAACACTAAAATATATACTCTTTATCGATTTAGAGAAATCAGGCGAAACGTGTTGCGGTGCAAAAACGATCCATCTGCAAGCAGCTAGCTTGAGAAAGTGGACTTTGTAAATTAATATATTTATTTTAAAACCACTTGGAGATTTTAGTTATAGTGGTATTATTATACAAAAGTTAGTTCTAATTCATTAATTTAATAAATCTTTTAGATGTGAAGAGTTAAATGAAAGTCTGACAGCCGGCTAATTCAACTAAGCGTATTCATCGTCATTATTCGACATTGTTTAAGTAATGTTCAAGTAGCAAAATCTGGAATAGTTGACAAAATGATTAATGTTGCCGTAGAGAATAATTAGAATAAGTGAAGGCTTGTAGTAAAACTCACCAGTGTAGTTAATGGCTTTTTAAATAATAATAAAATTTAAGTTATTTGGTGTCATACCAGTCTATCTAACTAGAGCTGGGACAGTCGCTTTTAGAATGTAACTCGGAAAGAAAATGGCGTTTAAAAAAATTTGATGAACTATTGTCAAAATTTTTGAACTGATGACCACAAATGTAGTGAACTCCGGTTCCTGTTCAAAAAATACTAACTTGTGGGGAAATTTGCATTGACTTATATTGTACAGGTTTATTTAATTGAGCCTTCGAAATTGTACTATTCAAAGAAGCCTTGAATATTGTAAAAAATTAAAATAAAACCTGTCAAAAAACGACCGCATTACGCATAACTGTTAAAGTTTGGGAATATGGAATAATACAGATTTGTCAAATTTGAATATATTAGTCATTTGCAAACAATTAAATTATTATTTCTCTAAAATATATTTCGTAATAAATTCAAAAATCTATTTTTCCAATTTCTTAAGGGACGTTTTTGCCATAGATTTGCTAGTTTTTCATAAATTAATATCAATTTCGCTTAACACTAAAATGAAATCACACACATAAAAATTTTTTTCAATCACATATTATTTTCGTTTTGGTTTTAAAGCATAATTGATGCCTTTATTTGCAAATACAATCTACGCGGTCAAAAAAGTATTATTTAGTGGAATGTATTTGATTTAGTATTACAGTATACTGACCAAATGAATCGTTTGTTGAAAATTAGTAGTTGAACGCAATATCAACTGGAAAGAGTTCATGTAATTTCATGGAATTTTTCACTCCAAGAGCAATAATGAAGAATAAGAAAACAAAATAATCATACATTCATCTTCATAATACTTCTGTTGATCATTTACGTTATCGTAAGAAGGGTTTTGCAAATGCATTGACAAACGCTGAAACATAACCATGTTTTTAAGATATTTTCATAGAAGACTGGGTATTTTTAAAAATGACCGTTATCATGTGATCCCAATTTTGCTCTTTCTAATTTCCATTATTGGATCATTTGAAAATGTCAAATTTTTAGCGCAATATAAAATATGATCTTATTTGGTTATTATAAAGGCGTTCAAGTTTTTAAACGAGCCAATGAGACTGCATGGGTTATTAACTGTCAATGGACATGATGATCATGCAGTGTGTAAACTATTATGAAGATTATAGATGTTCAATTTTAAGGGACCGATCAATCACTTTCTTCTATGAAACAGTCATTGTGAACATTCAGAAAGGAATTCATGCCAATTCAGTAGATATATATTAAGTTTTCAAATTTGAAAAAAGAAAGTTAAATTTTAATTTTTCCCTTATCGTATTATGAAGGCGACTAGCAACTGCTAGCATTTAACTGAAAAATTTTAACATATTTAATTGCATTGTTATCACACCCATGGAGATTCTGGTTTTAACGCTAAACCATTCAAAAACAATGTTGTCTTTAATTAAATTTGTAAAAAAACGATTGAAAATTCAACTTCAGAAAAGTGATAAATTGTGAAAAAGAGCCCTTAAAACTTCTAAACTATACGACGTAACACTGATTGCAATGGTAAGCAAATAATGTCACGAAAGCAGCAGAATTTAGTCTCATTAGACAAGGCATAGTTAAATTAGTCTAAACTGTATTTATTGACTATGCACCTAACAAAAGTAGTATTGTTCCCAGGCAAACGTCTGTTTTCTCAATATCGTCATGGTAGGGTAACTAATGCATGAGACAATCCGGGCTAAAAGTTCTTGGAAAAGAGAACAACTAGAAACTTTTCCATGAAATTCAGGCAATTTCATAACCTATAGTAGCTCATGGACTATTATCAACCAAATGACTCATTTATTCCTCAGTGATTGCAATTATGGATTCATACAGATTTGGTAAATTGGCTCGAATTGTCCATTCGCAATACCTATTAATGATTATTTTCTAAATTATAATTATGATGCAATGTAAAGCTTGCCTTTACTTTCTGACGACAAGTCTTTTTATGGTTGACTTAAAATTTTTAAAAAAATTAATATCAATTTCAGTTGATATGATAAATCGATATGTTAACAACTATTCAGTTTGCATTGAGTCAGATTATATTTTGTACAAGAGGGGTGCGCGATAGACTTACCTCCACGTGGTGCACCCTGGATAACGTATCTTCGTATGGCAAAAAATTTTATCATTCGGCATTTTATTTGAATTCGATTTATCATGATTATCTTGAAACGAAACTATAAGAGAAATCGCTCTCATCAGAGCGAATCACAATGTATTCAGGTCCTTTAGTGGAATGTTGGAGGGAGTTCGCAGGACAAAAAGATCCAAGTCCAGAAAATCCTACAAAGCTATGATGTTGACATTTTCACAATTATGGAAGCTAACATTTCAAATGAAAAACTGAAATACCGCCAATTCTCAGGTTACTTCCTGTAAGATCTGCAAAATTTCCGCCAAGTTGCAAGTGGAATTCTAACTGGAGTAAAAGAAGGTCTCACATCACATTACGAAATAATTAAGAGTATGGGTTCGACAAAGGACATATGTGAAATAATCAGATTAAATATTTGGAAATTTCAAAACCACTTCAAGATATATGCAGTCTATAACCAATGTCAAAACCACTTCAAGATATATACAGTCTATAATCCATTGTCAAAACCACTTCAAGGTATATGCAGTCTATAATCCAAAACACAAGACATATGTGAAATAATCAGATTAAATGTTTGGAAATATCACTTCAAGGTATATGCAGTCTATAATCCACCCCAGAATCGTTTCAAGATATATGCAGTCTATAATCCTCCCCAGAATTGTCGAAATGCAGTCTATAATCCACCCCAGAATTGACCAAACTTTGACATTCTGAACATCTCACACAAAACTGTAATACTAGGCGACTTCAACGCCCATTTCACCAGATGGGGCTACAAGGATGCAAACAAAGCTGGAAGGAAATCGAAGACAGGATAAACAGCAACCATTTGGAACTTATTTACAGCAATGAGGATCCGCCTACATATTTGCACTACAATGGAACCAGAACAACTCCTGATTTACTCTTGGCTTCAAGCGACATCAGTGAGCTTACACGCCGCAAAATAATTGACGATCCTCGTTCTGGTCACAAACCAGATATTGCCAGTATTGCCATCAGTTCTGGTCACAAACCAGTCATTGCTAGTATTACCTTTGGTCAAAGCATGACAGGGAAAGTGCCAACTAAGCTATCATGGAAGGTCAAGAAGGCAGATTGGTCAAGATTCACTAACATTTTAGACAATGAACTTCACACAAGTCCCCTCAACTTCAACTAACATCCTGAAAAACTTTACAATGATATCCCGAATATTATAATCAGATGAGCAAAGGCCAGAAGCAAGACCAAACATTATCGAGTGTTTTGGTCTAAATACTTTGAGGAACTAAAAAGAAAGCGGGACGCTCTTGGCAACACTGCTGATCAAACTGAAAGAACGGAAGACGTACAAGCCTGGAGACGACAATCAGCTGTCCTTGAAGACGTACAAGCCTGGAGACGACAATCAGCTGTCCTAACACAAGCCATCTTACAAGCTAAACCGTGGCTTTCGACAAGTTCATCTCAAATATCACCTATCAAAGTGATGCTGTTCTAAGACAAGCCATCTTACAAGCTAAACGGACTTCCACGACAAGTTCATCTCAAATATCAACTATCAATGTGATAGCAAACGCACTTTCAAATTCCTGGGTAACCAGCAAAACAACAGGGAAAAACCCAAGAAAGAACTAATACGTTTACTGAACAAACTGCTCAGCACCGACTCCAAAATAGCTAACTGCTTTGCAATGTTCTATTCCCGCAAGCGAAAGAAAAACCCTTTTGTCAGAAAATCTTCAAGAGGTTCAAAAGATACAAGTAAGACAGTTTGGTGAAATTAAGGAAGACACCAAATAATGTACTTACTGAACCATTCAGACCCACGAACTTAATGCTGCGATAAAACAGCTAAAGTGCAAAAAGACCTGGCGAAGACGGTATTTATCCAGAATTTCTAATTAGAATGGGGCCAAAAGCCAAGGAAACCATGCTAACGATACAACAAAGTCTGGGAGACCAGTCTCGTACCTAACCAATGGAAAGTTGCCCAGTAATACCAGTACTAAAAAAGGGCAAAGACCCCCTTTGACAACTATAGATCTCCCTCACAAGCGTGCTGGCTAAACCTATGGAAAGAATTGTTAACAGGTGACTGACCTGATTATTGAGAAAAACAATATTCTTTAGAGTGAACAAGCCGGTTTTAGGCCGCAAAGATCAACGAAACAGAAAGTGGCCGTTTTCGCCCAAGAC